AAATGGGAAGAGAAAGGAATGATCTTATAAAGGGCGACATTTTAAAGGGGTGGTGGAGTAAATGTCAGACGTTCCACCCTGCAAATCTGACTGTCAATCTCTTCTAGTGCAGTCTCATGAAATAACATACAATCTCGTGAAGCGTCTAAGATGAATTAAATGAACTGCTATCTCAGAATGCAACCAATTTTGCATTTAAACTGTCAACTGACAGTTACAGTACTGACAGTACAGGCGACGATGGAATCTTTTATTTGCATGACTTGTTGGCTTGATTTTTTTTATTTTTTGAGTTTTAAAAAAAACTTTAAATATAAATATTAAGTCTTTAAGTATAATTCTTATTTTATTTTTTAATCCGTAGTGTATTTATAAGTGTTTTATATTAGGTAACGTTAGAATGCACTGATGTCGACTTAATGCTTTTATCTTATTTTAAAGGGTCCTTTGCAGGGTGCAATTGCATATTTGGTTGAAATGCTGGAACATACACAATATTTCATCAGTATATAGTTTTTACTTAAAATTATTTAAAGTTCGAGAAGTTGAAAACTTTAAGGCTGTATTAACTGGTCGGAAATATATCTGAATTTTTTCTACAGTTAATTAATTCCGGTGACAAATACAGTATAAGGGGTTGTAATGAATCTAAATTTATCATATTTCTCAACTAAATTATTTACACAGTATCTGAAAAATAAATCTATTTTAACCTACCTTTTTACTCTATAGCTATTACAGGATGTAAAATCTATATTGCAATCGAACAATCTTTGAATTGAAATTAACAACAAGGCAATTTTTCAATTTCTTGCTTCTGGTCGGCAGAGGTAATTTTAATAAATCTTTGTTTAATGTGTTTTAATTAACATTTCCACTTTCTAGGATAATAAAAAGATTCTATCTTAAGTAAATAATTGTCAACATTTACGTAATAAATAAATAGACTCGGTCTTTAAGTGTTGAACAATAATTTGAAAGATCAACTTCAAACATAAATTGAATAGTGAAAAATACGAATGATAACGCTTTTGACACTATATTTTTGTGTTCCAATATGTCCTTTGTAAGTACATGATATCTTTTTAAGGTAAATATAATGAGATTGAACACTACGATTGCCGATTAAACACAGACTTAAGTGAACGACGAGAGGAGCGAGCTGGTCTAGTGGTAGGAGTGCAGGACTTCGGTCCTTGAGGTCCCGGGTTCAAATCTCGCCAATCACCAATGGATATTATCGAAGAGAAAATGTCCCCTAGCTCTAGACCTATCCAATCATAATCTCTTCGATTAATCCGCATACATGAAGAATGTACCAGTGTACAAAAACGTCTTAGTTTTACTGCTAGATAGTAATCTTTACTTGAGAGCTGTAACTTTGTTTTTAAGTGGGAATTAAAGTTTCTCTTGTCTGCTCCATATGTGTCTGTTGTTCACTACTGGTTCACCCCACCCCCCATTTCCAACCCCTACTCCACCCAAATGCCAAAAGGGTCATCGCCCCATTACATTATGGCTAGAATTTGTTATGGTAATTTTACAAATTGTTAATAGGTTATTATGAATTGTGCATAAGGTGTACAGGTAAAAACTATGTTAAAGCACAAAATGGATATTTCTACAATTTCTATCTTTGGAAAAAAATTTATATTAGCTGTTACCGAAGGTCTTATTGTAAGGCCTAGACCCGGGACAGATTTACTTTTTAAGTTTTAAGGTCCACGGGGGGCAAAAATCTCCATCCTTCTAGATTCATGTGTATGTACTTTAGCACGATGACTCAGACAAAATCATACGAAACTTGGGAATCTCTCGAGTAATTGTATTTGTATTACTTTATTTTTTTTTTTTAAATAATAACACCCCAATGTCCTTCAGCAGAGCACAAGTAAAGTTATTATTTAAAAATAAATAAGGTATTTACAAAATACTTTACTCCAAAATTTACCACATCTATATTATTAGCTACATGAAACTTTGTGAACAATAAGGCTTTTTTCTTGTAAGATTTAACCCCACATATTATACACCAAAATGTTCGTATATGTGTGTAGATTTGCAAACTGACCTTACATTTTTGAAAAAGTCCCTTGGGCTCTGCCCCAGTGGCTTTTAAAATTCCCATGTTATCCTTTTGAAGAACATATTTGTTTACATTATGATCAGCTGGATAATTAAATTGCTGTTAATATTTTAGCTGCAATTTAAGGAGACGTGCTACAAAAACTCACTGAATTGGTTGAAATGAAATATTGACTATTTGAATTTGGGGTGGCGTAAATAATATTACGATGGAAAGAAGCGAGAAAGCCTGGACAATTTGATATACTAAAAAGAAAACTGAATTAACACCGGATGTGCTGCATTTCTGGAGCAATCATTGAAAGTGCTGATTTGCAAACTATGGAAACATAGGAAAGTCATAGGACACCATCAAGTAGAAGAAATAGAAATAACGGTTTTTAAAATTTATAATCGTTATTATGTACAACCTAATGTGGCTATGAGTAAGACACATTAGTAGAAAGCACTAAAAACAAGATCATATTTGGAAAAAATGATAAGATATTTACAAGAAATGTTGATTATATCGAACTGATATGTACATTGTGAGTATTTCCATAATCTTTGAGTCGGCTGTTTTAAAGTCATTGGAAATTATGACTGTTAATTCGAATTTAAAATAACGCCTGTAATACTTCACTATTGCTCGAACTTTAGCAACAAGTACACTTGTACACTAGTAATACTTAACTAATTTCATCACAGACAGTTTTTGTTTTGTCATCTTCGTCTACCGAAATCATTTATTACCGAGTATAACGTTGAAGGGGCTCAGATGTGGGGTTGTGCAGCGAATACCCAGCCTTCATTTATCTTTACCACAGTATGTCTTGATTTGTCTCTTGTAATTCAGTGACAGACCTTTTGCAGGAAAAGTAATAAAGATCGCCCCTTAAGCTTTGTGTACTACAGTATTGTCATTTAGTCAAGGATGTATTTTCTGATATTTGGTTGTGCAGATGTGTTAGGAGGGCTATGGCATTTATGATTAATAAATTGTTATTAATAAGATAATTGTACTGTATACTTCTGGATAACTTTTACAGAAGCTCACTCTTCGAGTAGCTTATTCAATTATGTTTTATTTAATTTATTTTAAATAGCTTCTTGATTTTTCATGTTATTAAATTTACGGAATGTAAATATGAAATACGTCTAATAATACCTTAAAAATATATTTACACTTATACTGTTAACTTATAGGATCGTAAATATACATAAAAGATAGTAAGTGACACGGATACTAGAAAAATACCGGTATGGATCATAAACATAAACAAATGACGTTTTTGGCCCAAAAATAAACATTATTTAACATTGCTTAAATGGAACTGCCATTTATTTATTATTATTATTCATTATTTATTTATTTATTTATTTGTTTATTTATTATAGGATTCGGGCCAACAACGTCATTTGTTTATGTTTATGATCCATACCGGAATTTTTCTAGTATTCGTGGTAAGAGGTGATCGATAACGATTGCACACTCTAATCTTCATCAGACCCAATAGGCAAATCGCGATCAATACAATCGAAATCATTACCACTTGCCATCTTTTTTGTATATTTACCGTCTTGTTAGTTAAGGGTGTAGTTAAATATAAACAAATATGTTTAAATTGTTATTAGACACCTTAGACGTATCTTACTTACTTTCCGTTGCATTTTAAAAATTACCTAATTTCTAGCACAGACTAACCAAAACAAGTAGTCTTCTCATCCATTGTAAATTTTGAAGCTCGTTTTTCGTGACTAGTTCAAGTCCGGTTCATGATAGCTATTACCGATGACATTTGGTTTCTATTATTTTGTGGTAATTTAATTATTTGTGCTTTACTGTTTGGTGAAATAACTAGATACCGAGTTATTGTTTACAATTTGATCGGTTAATTCGGTTAAACGAGCTTTTAAATGGCTGAAATAACAAGAAACAAACTATAAACCAAACACGACCTCTACAGTGCATCAGACAGAACTAACAATAAAATTGGCTTCAGATGATCCATAAAAATGAGAAATATGTTTCTGGTCTATCCTACATTTGGAATGAATCTAAAGCCAATGGTGATAGTGAAAGGGAGCTGCTGTAGTTTTCCCACTGTAACGTATATCATATGGTTGTGACAACCGCCAAATTCACAGCTGTCTCCTGCACAGGGTTGTTGTTGTCATTTGTTTATCATTGGACATTTACATGTTAGCACAGCTTCTGGTGAATTTACACATCCTCCTGCACTAGAAGTAGTACAACAATCATATTATGTTGGAAAACGTTAAAATAAACACTTAACGAGGTGCAATCTTAGATTAAATATAAATTTTTATTGATCTATCACTGGTGATGAACTAAAGAGAATTTTAATGCTTGCTAGTATTCGCAATTCATGTTTTAGATTTACAATCATCAAGAAGTACAACTAAACTAAAATAAACAGTGCACCAACATCAGAGCTGCGGTTAGCATATGTTCTGGCGTCCACCGCTAGGAGTGCCGTGTAGTTACGGCGCACACCGCTATAGCGTCTGCTGGTAGCATACGTCGAGGAGCCGACGCTGGCAGCGAATCGAACACCGAGCAAACTCTAGCTGAACATCGCGGGACCTTCCTTTGACATACTATATTTATTCTATTTGTCTATGGTATAAACTGAAACCATGTGTGGATGTTAATCACCGGATTTTTGGAAAAACAATGACAAGCAGTCATAGTACGTCTGGTTTGTAAAACTAAAAATTATTACTCGTGAGCCGATCTCTCTTAAAATGATATTGTAGGATATAAAGATAAAAGCTGCTTTGCAAAATAGTGCACTTGCTATTTATACATAACATCAGCCGTTCTTAGTAATTCAATTTTAATTTAATGGCCAGGATTTTGAAACAAAAAATATATTTACTACGTCATTGTTAACTCGTTTTCATCGTTCCAGGTGAAGGGTCAGAAAACGAAGAAGACGAAAAGGATGGAGAGAGCGACGCGGACAGCGAGGAGGCACAATTGAGAGCTGCGCGGCTCAAGCAGATAGTGCAGATAGCACCAGGTCCACTGCTGGCTCAGGCGTGAGTATCTGAACAGTCTGTACAGGTTTATCTGCATTAGAACCTCGATAACAAGGGTAATTTCAAATACCCTTGATTTTACCTTTATCGTATGCTAACTCGAATAGAAGTCACCCTTGATAACAAGTGTAGTTTTCACCTCTAGTCCGGACGTATTTCAACCTTGTCCGGTAACCTGAGGACCCAGTCAAACTCAGGGAACATATAAATTTGCAGTTGGTGTATGTAATAAATGCACCAACGTGATTGGTTGTACGACGATATATAGAACCTCAAATAAGCATTCATAACATTTTTTATTATTATTAACAAAAATGTTGACAAGTTACTTTTTCGGTGGTCTAAATTTTAAAACGTTACCTATAACACTCTAGGAAGCCCTTCTTGATCAGCTGACAATGTGATTGAACGATCATATCAATGTGTAGTCCACTTCATCGACTTGGTAGTCTCAAGGACGTGTTTGATGATGTTCTCCACAACCTGTGAGCTTGTAGCGTCCCCTCCAAGGTCAGGCGTGTGGATCTTGTCGACGTTAACAGTCTGATTGATGGCTTCTGACAGAATGTTTGCGTGTGTCTGATGTTCAAGATGCTCCAACATATCAACCGCCGCATTCAACATCGCGACCGGGTTGGCGACGTTCTTCCCAGCAATAGCACTACTGGTACTTCTAGTACCGGGTTCAAAAATGGCGTAAAGGTCTCCGTAATTTCTTCCAGAGTGGAGTCCCGCGCCGCCGACTAAGCCGCAGACGACGTTGGACACGACGGTTCCGTAAAGATTGGTCATGAGCATCGCGTCGAACTGATGGGGATTTGACACTAACTGCATGCAGCAGTTATCGATGATCATGTCTTCAGTCACAACATTCTGATAGTCCTTCCCAACTTCGCGTGCGATCTCCAGGAACAAACCGTCGGAGAGTTTCATAATGTTAGCTTTATGCACAATCGTCATCTTCTTCCGCCCAGTTTTCACCGCTAAGTCAAAAGCGAACCGTGCAACTCGTTCAGAGTTCTCTCGAGTCACGACCTTCATACTTTCCACAACGCCGCTGATACTCTCGTGTTCCAGCATCGCGTACTCTCCCTCTGTGTTTTGACGTACGATGCAGACGTCGACGTTTTTCTGCCTCGCCACAACGCCGTCGTAGGACTTGCAAGTCAGAACGTTCACGTAGAGATCAAGCTCGTTTCTCAACGCTACATTATGACTGATGACGTCAGTGAACACACTTGTCTCTATGCTCCCTTTGATCGCCACTCCGTTGCGTTTGATCGACGTGATCGCATGCTCCAAGTCTTCGTTGTCACTTTTAGAGTCGATCTGTATTGTTTCGAAGTCCACGGGGATCCCGCCGTATCTGAAGACCTCTTTGACGTAGTTCATCAATTCTGGGCCGATCCCCCCACCTGGTAACATGGTCACCGTATGTCGCCCACCATACTGAGCCCTAGGCAAGGTCAATGTCTTCCTCTTTGAAGTCCTGTGCTGCCGGAGTAAAGCTGCCACAGTCGTGACATTTCTTACAAAACGGGCGCTAGCGTTAACCAATCGGGATGAAGTCAGAGGAATGCTGATACATTTACTTACCTGGCAAGTCATTTCAATAATCCATCGTTGAAGTCGGCGTAATGTGGCGATATACTGTCCAAATCTTCACCAATAACAGAACTTAGGTACTCAATTCTTGACCAAATAGTTATTCTTTTGTCAATGATACCATTGTAACTGCAACAGTAATAATACTTTTTGGGTATTTATTCGTGTTTACATGATTTGTAAAAGGAGAAGTAAGTGAACAAAACTACTTTTTTAATAAAAGAAAAACTGACAAAACTAAAGTTTATAGCCTACATAATGGTTTTCTTCTTGTTACAGGGAACTGTCTACAAGTCAAAGTGATTTTTTCAAAATGCTGGACGATAAAATAGAAAACGTAAGTAAAATTTTACAGGGTACAAACATTGACTAATCAAAGATACAGGGTACTTACAGATCAATTACGTACAGTATCTACTTTTACGGGTTATCTATTAATTGGAATTCCTGTGGGGGAAAACTATTTAGTAATACATCAGCGACAAAAATACTTCACATCCCATTGCACGAAAGGCAATTTTTTTGTTAACTCATTAAGATATGAGTTTTCAAGTTTAACAATTTCAGACAGATGGTTAGGTCCATTACCACCTTCAATGACAATAAGCATTGAAGGTGGTAATGGACCTAACCATCTGTCTATCTTACAAATCACACAACACAAATTACCTGGATATTTTACCATTGGAATTATATTTACTTATATTTTCAACCGATTCTTTCCAAAGACCACACTAATACTCCTTCGTAAGAGTACATCTAACTTTAACTCGTTCTCTGCCTAATCCCCGTCTAAACTTTAAATTTACCTTTAGGAACGTTTTCCAACTATCCATTTGCACCCGTTTCGTTCCAGGCTCCACACCTCGACTCCTACGGAAGAGTGCCTCTTCCTCTACCTCTTCCATATCCTTCCCCTCTCACCCATCCTCTAACCCTAAATCTGCTCCTACTATCTCTACCTCATCCTCTAGCTATGCAACTATCCTTAAATTTGCACCCGGTTCGTTCCAGGGTCCAGACTACGACTCGACGTGCGAGTACGAGATAGCCATGGAGCATGCTCGACTCTGCAGACTCCTACAGGACTGGGAGATGGCCAAGATCAGGTCTCGGAACCGTCTGATGACGATGACCAAGCCTGTCCGCTACCCCAGCCTTCAACCCAACGGCAACCTTCCGCGCCAGAGGTACTCGCTGGCCAACTCTGTCGTGACGTACGACCAGAGAGGAGGATACTACACGGAACTGGCGTGACACACGTTCAGTTCTCGATAACTTACCTGTGATTCTTAGGCTAAGGGAAGTAACTGTCCTCATCAGTATAATGGTTTTGAATAACTACTGAACAAATTCAAGCACATAACCTCTAATAATCCGAGTGACAAACACAACAAACTATAACACGTGTTTTGTGGCATAACGCAATCAGCTGTTTACATATTTATCATGAGATAAATACTGTAAGGTTAATTAACATTAGAGTTTATTACCATTGATTTTTGGGTGAAGTAGGCATCTAATCACTACATGGTGATATAGATCTAACATTACCAGAATGATGTAGCCAAAATACCAATTTACTAAAAAAATAACGAAATTTAATTATTCACTCACAAAGTTTACCAATGTCAAAATTCTATATTACAAGTAAACAAAAACTTTTATGAAGAAACAGCTTTTAATTGCATCGGCCTGTTTATAATTTATTTACTTAAATAATAAAACTTCGGCATTTTTTCATACAATTACTTTGCTCTGCAAATCTACACACTTAACGCTTCATTTAGCGATCAGTGTCACCGGACATGAACTAGACACTAAAAACGAGCTTCAAAATTTATAATGGAATGAGAAGTCTATGGTCAAAGTAACTATCTTTAACTGGTTGATGAAAGTACAAATCCTATTTCCATGAGTTGTAGGTGGTTGTAGCCACAAATATTGCAACTGTTCTAAAATTCGTGGTTGTGACATTGACTTTGAGCGCAAGTAGACTATTTACCATCGTATGAAGTCCGTTTTGAATGAAGCTTCGTTTGTGATGTGTGAGTGTGCTGATGTTGAGTAAACGTTTCATCAAATATGACGGTATAATTCTTGTAGTACTACAAATATTTTATCCTTAAATTTGTGACTCGGGGCAGAGGCTAAAATTTCAATTATTGTTTCTCTTTCATTTTAGGGATATTTTACGATTTAGGCTCTAGTCTTTGGCTATAGTGACGGAGAAAAATCGTGTACAAATAGTAAGCAACAACAAGAATCTTAACGTAAACTGGACCAAAAAACTTGTAAATGAAACTATTGATTACGAGTGTGTTCATAGATGTGCAAACTATTTTACTTTTGAGGGTAGTTAAAATAAACATTATAAATCTTTATCCATACTATGTACTTCCAAATACATAAATTGTATTTCTATGAAATATGAAACTAACTACTGTAATATATGTTGATAAAATATATGGTGTTTGAAGTGTAGATAGACTGACCAAAAAAATGTATTATTAACTTAAGATTATTGTTGAGTGTCATCGGTTATTAATTATTATGATAAGTTTAATCATGTACTTCTAATACTGCACTTAGGCTTCTAATGCTATTGTAAAATCTAAAGCCTATATGTACCCTACACTGGTTTTCACTACCGATTATGCTTAAACACTCTAAGGTCAAATGAAAATTCCTCTTCTATTCAAAAGACAATTTTACAGTGAGGTGTATGCTCTTTGTTTTACCACGGAGCAAGCAACAGCTTACGAATTGTTATTTAGTTGTATTGTAATAGAATAGATTTAATGTCAAAACAACAATGAGTGAATAGAATAATATAAAAACAATGTATTATGCTAGGATGGAGCTTAAAATTGTATTGTATACAGCTTGGATATAAAGAAAAAAATCCATTCGAGAGTATGTTTAATCTATGGTTAATTTGTTGTTATTAATCAGTATGCAGTTTAAAAACGCCAAGCTTTTAAAAAACTACAGATAAAGCCTTTTTTCTATAACACAAAAACAAAACTGGCATAACATGTTTTTGAAGTATTTTGTACAGGTTAACAGGCCTACCTACTTAAGATATGATTTTCGTTAATCTTGTGAAAAATTATTATATATTAGCAGTATGGGATAGCTCCTAAAACATTGATTTTACCTGGCGTTTAGGGGCACGCCCATATTGCTAAGGGTCTACATCGTTTTTATAAGAGTTTTAATTTATTTTTTAGTCTTCGTAAAACACTTATTTTTTTGTACCATTAATTAAATTAAAAAGTCAGTCAATGATCAGTCAATAATATAATCAGTCAATGGTTATACCATTATCCTTTAGATACTAAGGCGTCCCATATACATAGCCCAGCTGTAGCTTATTTTTCATTAAAAAATAACATAGTTGCTTTAGCTGCTCACACACTAGAGCATATAATCTTTCCTTTAGTTTTTGTTACTGAAATATTTGGTGTGACAAGAACAATTCTATAGCTTCACGTCGACCTGTCAGTTTAATTTGGTTAACAATTTGGCGTATTCGTCAGATATCTTCAGTTAATAGTTCAAATTCAACAACGCCAATTTTTAAACTTAACTGGTCACTAAATTAATGATTCCTTTTTTATGATTCAAACCAAAACTAAATTCTTTTTATACATGAAACAGAATAGCTTGGCAGCATTTTTTTATAGTAAAATGTTCTGTAGGATTTTATTTTAGTAATTAAGTTGTTATTCAATTATAAATGTTTGTTGTAACTTATTTCATAAAGTATTCTAACTAATGTATTGGTTTTAAAATGTTGAGATTTTACAAAGAAGAAAGAATGTTTATGTATCTTTATAAAGTAATCCCTATGTAGTTAGTTCGTTTTTTTAATAGCCGTTTCAGTTCAGTTCTTAGAATTGAAAGTTTCACATAACAGCATTGTTTACTTTAATAACAGCTTCTGTTATGAAAGTAAGTAGGTAATTAAAGTAAAAACTATGAGTTTTTCTTAACATCACGGCTAAGGGACCAATGAGGTTCAAGGACTGAGAGAGAAGAAGTAAAATTGTAATGATTCGAACCTCAACTAATCAGCTGTTCAGGCCAATTTAATTGTTGAGTGGTGCAATTAGTGTTTAGTACATGTTTCATTGCATCACTGTCAGCGGCAAAGAGAGGTTATAAACGAAAACATAACCTCTCTAAGAAGTTATGAGTAGTGATTTTGGTAATTAAAACACTGTCGTAGGTAAAGTAGTGTACGCAACTCGCGTAAATGGTATTAACGACACCCGTAGAAGTTTTAAAGGCATTCGCAAAAGCTCCTACCTTAAATTTTCTACTCGTGTCGTTAACACTATCTTTACGAAATCGTTGCGTAAACTAATGCAACAACCGAAACTAAAAACTTATTACGTAATCCGAATATAGGATGATTTAGAATGGAGCAAGATTACTTTTACTTGTGCTTTGTTACTAAGATTAGCTGTTTGTTAGGAATATTAAATATTTAAAAAACTTTGAAAAACTTATGCCAGCCAGCCAAACAGAAAATCCAAACAAATTCCAATCTCATGTTTTATTAACAGTGTAGGGTGAAAATAGATACGTCTGTACATTATATATTTTTGGTCTAGTTTTCAGCAACTTGACGACCTATATGAACCAATATAAAAATAAACTTTTCTTATGGGGATTTAACATCAGGGCTAATTTTTAAGCTTACGAACGTTGGACGAGCTACTGGGCCGATTTATTCGTGGTTGGTACCAAATGAAAGGTATTGACTAAAAGCAGAAATACAATTGTACAATTGAATTGTATAATTGAATAGTTGTATAATTGAATTGAATTGAATAGTTGTATGATTGAATTGAATTGAATTGTATAATTTAATTTGAGTTGTGTTGAATAATTGTAACGATTAATAATTGTATGAAACAATTAATTATCCCTTTGACCATCCAATGATCTTACAGACCAAGTAGTTTTTCCTTCTCATAAAATGGTGTTTCGCCTTAATGTTACGAGTACTACTGTAATATAAAATACTGTTTGTAAATAATGCATGGCACATTTTATCCATCTGACATATTAATGGCTAGTTTTTATACCTCAATCAAAATGCATTTTACTCAAATATTGCAACTCAATACTCCAAAACAATAGTAAAGCATAATAATCCCTATGTGCCCACTGTGTTTAGAAACTTAGAATCGTAAGTTTGTTATATTTTACAAGTTTAGATAATCGTGTAAATAAGGATGTAAAATCTGTTGTCTCGATGGTAAATGTTACTTGCTATTGTGTGCTGTTAAAAATATAATGATAATATTTTGCAGATTTTATAAAATGCAGTATTATTTTAATAAAAATTGAATTAAATTTTCAGTTTAATTAATAACAGCGACCATAGAATTTTTTAAATTTTTATTTAAATTAATAATTCTAATATTTAATCAATTTAATTTTAATAATAAATTACCTTTTTTTACATTGTGGTTGATGTGATATAGGTATATTTAAGTACTAATCAAAACACAATATGTTGTTATTTTTTAACCAATTTCTTGATTGAAATCCTTCTGATCATCTAAGACAAGTATTGACTATACCAGTTTGTATATTTTAGTGAATTACCCACATAGTGAATAAGCTATTACCGAAGGTCTAGATGTCCCCACATACTGTGCATGTACAGGGTGTAAAAGATTCCCGGAACAGCTAAATATTTCTATGGTAAAGAAGATAGAGCTATAAATTTTTGTACAAAGTTACTGGGCGTTAAAATAATTTTAACACATTATTCAGTGAGACCCTATCCCCTCAGGGAGATGGCCCTCTAAAACTCAGAAGAAAATCGTATATGTAAGAAAAAGGATAATATGTACATCATCAAATTAAAGGTTGTTACTGGTATAATACAATGCCGCAAATTTGAAGCCAAACGGACAACAGAGTCGAAAATATGGCAGCCGTTCCATTATTTCTTGAATCTGCCCTTTTGAATTTTTACACGGCTGCAATTTTTTACCCAATTGTTATTTTTAGCTCAAATTTGCGGTTGTATTCAACTAAAAACACCTTTTATGATTTTCTTCATACTTATATCGAGCGCCCCTGAGGAGGTAGCCGATATTAAATTAAAGCTGTAGTCTAGATAGCAATGATAAATATGTATCTGGATTAATTCATATTACTGTTTTTAAAATTCTAAATGGGATTTCAAAAGCTATTTCGCAAAAGATTATTGGTGCTAACTCACCATTCATGAAAATACAATGCACACTTTTATAACTATGCATATGAAAAATTCACCATACAAGAAATATGGTGCAACAATGAATATATATGTTAAATTTTCGCTATTCATATTTTCTATCTCTGTGACTGTATATAAGTGTTTAGGAATGTATATAGAATGGTACAAGAGTAAAATATTGTAAAAAAATAAAGGCTATGCAAAATGCTGGAGGACTTTTTATGTTTACATCACACCACATCCATTTAAGGCCGAACTACACTTATTGGGTGCTTCTCCATATCATATAATGCCCGTTTAAAGCAAATATTCAATTAATAAATGTGACATTTTATTTTACCTTTTTTATAGTGCTCAATATTTTTTTAAATCAT